AACTTATTTTTTTAACATACATATATTGTGTATCATTTTTGTAAAGTATGCATTTTTAAGTGATATTAACATTTTTTTTGTAAACTCTGTATCGAACAATATTTCTAAATTAATATATTCATTGCTGAAGCTACTATAAATTACAAAATCACATTTACAAACATTTAGCAGAACCATTCCTAGTTGTACTTGGCCGTAGTAAGCATGCTTTTTTTTTTAATTGATATGTGCCATCATCAAATTTTGTAATATAGTTTAAATTGTCCATTAGTTTAATAATACCAAGAGTAGCTCCTTTGAAAGGACATTTAATTTCCAAAAGCTTAGATGGGTAATTTTTAGAATCCAGTATTATCCCATCAGGTGAATAACCTAACCATTTTTCATTTTCACTAGTTAAAAATCCACATTTAGAAATATTTTGACCAGACATCTTAGCATATAGTTCTCTAGCATGGTTTTCAAATTTAATACCATGCAGAGTGAACTTCGATGTAAAAGATTTTGGCCAAAAATAGTGACTACTTTTTTTTACCCAATCACTATTTGTTTTTATGTTCTGGTTGTATGTAAAAATAGAGTAACATCTGCTTCCAGTTATCCTAAACTGTCTTACTTTTGTCCAGTATGTCTGATCAATTAAAGATTTTTCTTTTATATAATTTATATCTGTTGAAAGTTCTGAATAAATTTTTTTACAACAATCTTTCAATTCAAACGTATAATCACTTAAATTTTCTAGTAACATATGTTTTTCTGCATGAAGTGAAAAAGTTTCAGGAAAAACATCATTATAAATATCAACAACATTCAATTGTCGCCCTTTTTGATGAAGTGACAATGCTGAATGTGGAGCAATACTTGCAAAACCCGATCTAAAAAGTAATTTATTCCTAATTACCTATATATTATAATAATTCAATAAAATTAACTTATAAGAAATGTTTGTTTTGGAAATTGTAAAAGTAAGATAACTATAAGCCTTAGGTGTCAAAATATAAAAAATATAAACCTGATTTCTTCGTCATTTATTGTGTTCAATGTAAGTTTTGGTTTCTTGACACAACAAAAGTGTTCTAATGAAACTGCTTTATAGCAAGCCAAAGATGGTTCTTTCAATTTAGCCCACTCACACTGCACATCGGTTTTTGAAAGTGTATCTATATCATTTAAGCTAGTTCTATAAAATGAAAATATTAAAGAACAAAAGTTATAGTAATCAATATTCTGACTTGAATAATTATAAATTAAAATATATGCTATTTAAAACACCTGTTTAAATTTAACAATACTGCTACAACATGTTTACAAGCCTCAGAGTCTCCTGCTTTGCAACTACATGTAAAATTAATTATTTTTAATTGATCATTTTGTCTGTGTAATTCTCCTGTCACTTCGTGAGGCATTTGATGAATATAAGAAGACTGAATAACTAACCCTTTAACTATTAAACTAGAATTCTATAAACATACAAATGTTTATGCTATATTAAATATTTGTATAATATTATCTCTATAACAGTTATTTTTTTAATAATATGGTATAACATATTTATTTGTATTTATGGGTAATTACTTTAAGTTAATGAGCCCCACATTTAAATTAATGTGAATAGTAATGTCAATACAGAACAAATAATATGTGCTGATGCACCAGAAAAAAATGAGAATAATATATTAACTAGGTAATAAGAATAATATTTAACTAAATAATTTAATAAATAAACAATATTATATTACTTGTTCAAATTTTCCACACAAAATAAGGTGTTTACAGTTTAATACCTGTTCACCTTCTACATAATTTCGAGTAGTTGGTGAACATTGTGCGTACTCGAAAATATGAGCAAGGCTTAGTGTATTCATTATTTAATTAGAATCTTAGGAGTTACATGTTAGTATGTTACTATAAAGATATTATTATGAAAAAAAATGCAAAATTATAGAAAAATAATAATATCAATCTAGACAATATTATAATGTTGTTTTGCATAGTTTTGGGCATGATAATGTTATTGATTAATCATTAGTTCAATTAGTTTATAGGTTTAAGTATAGATTAGGTCGTTAGTATTCAAGACTCGAATCCCAACTCGAGCGGCCATTATGTAGTACGGTTTGTATCACCAAGAGCGCGTCTTGTTAATCTGTATCGCCAAGACTGACATACCTTCTCTGCTCAAAATCGTTTTCGTATACAATGATATGATATAATTGAATTTAAATGTTATACCATCCATCACAGAGATCTTCTGGACGCCCAATGAACAGCAGATTGGCATCCACTTACCCGCTTTTTTTATTTTTTGTTTTTATTAATTACTTCGTTTGACTTATTTTCAACTTTAGTAACTTCTTTGGTAGGAAAATTAATGGTTGGTCACTAATTTTCAAAAGCGTCAAGGGAAGACTAATTTAACAAGGCTCTTAGTACTTATGTATAAGTATAATCTAACCTAATATAATATGAAGTAATTAATACTGCAACGTGTGCATTTAAACCTTGTACCTACAATGTGCATACATACATTACACATAACTATAGGTGTAAGACATAAATCAATTAATTTCAAGATATTATTAAGAGGACGGTACCAATGCATGTGTTGTCTCCGTCTCACATACGTACGACATAGAACATTTTCGTTCACTAGTTTCAATAGCGTGCTGTTGGTTTTGATATTAGAGTGCATTGACCTGTTATCAAAAGTTTAGGTAAGTACATTATCTATGCTTAAACCTTGGCTGATTTTTGTATATTTTAATTTTCAAGCGAGATATGAGCATTTTTAATTTGTGTTATTTCACATACTCGTATCTTGCTTGAAAATCAAAATATCGAAAATCCACCGACGCTTGGATAGGTAATGTTCTTACCTAAAAGTTTGATAGTATTTAAATTCACTCTAATAATAAAACTACCGGCACACTATTCAAAGTAGTGGTCAACAATTTGCTATGTCGTAAGTTGGTATAAGACGGAGACAACAAACGCGTGGGTAGCATCCTCTTAAGTAGATTATCCGAAAAATGTCATGTTATTTTTGTTGTGTTTATGAAGTTTATTGTCATTTTTACTGAAGGAAATCCCATTAAAACCTTTCTCTGGTTAAGAAAGAACTGTAAATTGTTAAATAATAACTATTTACTATGAATACTTCAATTTTATGATCAGCTGAGTTTGAAATTTAAAAATAATAATTTAATATTATAATTTTGATTATTTTTTTTATTTTTTTTTTCTGACTACAGGTGTGGAGCTGTGGTTTTAAGAAAATATACTTTATTAGGTAATACTTAAAAGGTATATTTATAAGTTTAATTAATACATTTTTTTGCCTGTTTTTCCAACATTACAAATTTCTTTCATCATCATTGCATGCAGTCATCTAGATAAGAATATGAATGATCTATCATCTAATCTAGATATAAACCAGAATGTTAAATACTTATCACGGACCATGATAAGCATATGGTCGGCGGAGTACGGGGTCTGTGACAAATGTACAACGCAAAGTGTACTAACGCCGGTACAACCGAGACTGCTGTTCCATCTATTTGCAAATGCTATAAACCTATGTCGCGGTCGTTATTGCAACTACCGCGGCGTCTCTATCGACGTTTGTGAGATCGCGACAGACAACCGGTCTGGCCGCCGCCTGCGGCACGGCCGCCGGCCCGGCCAGCGACGGACGACGGATCAGCTTTTGCCGGTCCGTCGTTGCCGTCACGTCGCAGCACTTAATAAAGTTGTACATTAAGATTTGATTTTTAATAAATACAAATATTAACTGACGTTTCAAGGTAACAATTGTTGTATTATCCTCAAATACGTTCCTACACCTACAGTGGCGCAGTCGGAAAAGGAGTAAGGTAAGTGCAAATTTTAATAAAAATAATTTTACGTAAATTAAAATAAATTAGCACACATCGGGTTAAAAGAACCTACAATAGGTGTCCTGATCATACCGGTTCCTAATATTTTTTATTCTGATTTTTTATTATAAGTAAAATATTAAGGGCTTGTCCAATCTAAGGTGGTAAATTGTAGCAAAGTTTGCATAATTTAGCGTAATCCCTACAGTGCTAAACTTGGTTTAGGCTATTTATAGATTGGAAAGTACATATCTCGACCAGCGATAGCCTGAGTTACGTAATTTCGTATCCATCGTAATTTAATTAGATACATAACAATTAAAATTTAATCTCCACAGTGGTTACTAAACGCATTTTTTTTTTTTTTTTTTTAGCTTTTATAGCCCATTGAGGGCCTTCGCTGCTTCCACAATTTCTTGCCACTTCTCTCTATTTTCACTTCCTGCTAGTTCTGTCTCTGGTGCAATCTTTGATAGGTCTGATTTTATAGTGTCCATCCATATATGTCTAAGGCGGCCTCTGGGTCTTCTACCATTGATTCTGCCCAACAGAACTTGCTTGCATATGCCATTCTCTCTCCATAAGTGCCCAGCCCATTCGAGTCTCTTGCTTCTAATGAATGCTTTTATATTTGGTTTTTGGAATAGCTGGTATATCTCCCCATTTGTTCTTATTCGATAATCTCCATTTTCATAGATAGGACCATAGATTCGGCGGAGTATTAACCTTTCGAAGATTAGCAGTTTCTCTTCGTCTCCTTTTGTCACCGACCACGTTTCGCAGCCATACGCCAAGACTGGGCGTAAGTAGCTCAGGTATAAGTTGATCTTTGATTTTTTAGATAGGAGTTTAGATTTAAAAAGTTTCACTAATGCAAAAAAACCTTTATTGGCTGCTGAGATTCTTAATTTTATTTCATTATGCATATTGTTGTTCTTATTTATGTTAGTACCTAAGTATTTGAAATCGTTTACCGCTTCGAAAGTGTACTCCCCGACACTTAGATCAGCTACCATCTCATTTTTTCTGCTGACGACCATATATTTTGTTTTGTCTTGGTTAACTTTAAGGCCCATACATTTGGCAGCTTTAAGTAGATCGTCGGTTTTTGCGGTTACCTCGATGCGTGTATTACCCATTACCACAATGTCGTCCGCATAAGCAAGTATAGAGTATTCCCCTAGTAATTCCATGTCTTGATATGCTGGCATTGTCCTTACCACTTTTTCAAGGGCTAAATTAAAAAGTAGTGGCGACAAGGCATCACCTTGCCACAGGCCTGTGTTCACGTCAAAACTTTCAGATAATTGATTTCGGAATTTGACTTAACACGCTGTATTGGAATTACATTCCTTTATTAATCGGATTAACTTTGAAGGTATTTCAAATTCTTCTAAGGTTATCCATAATTTGTTTCTATTGATGCTGTCATAAGCTTGGCTAAAGTCAACAAAACATAAGTGCACTTCTTTTTCAAATACATAATATTTTTCTAATGCTTGTCTAATCGTAAATATATGGTCAGTGGTAGATTTTCCTTTTATGAATCCAGTTAGATATTTTCCTATTATATCTTTGGAATATATTTCCAGTCTATGTAATATAGCAGTGGATAATATTTTGTAGCAGGTATTTAATAGTGCTATCCCTCTATAGTTTTTTGTATCCATTGTATCGCCTTTTTTATATATTGGGCAAATTATTGCCAATTTCCAATCCTGAGGGATTTGTTCTTTTTTCCAGATTTCTTTGATTAAAGTATATATTTCCGAGAACATTTTTGGGGTCGAAATTTTAAATAGTTCAGCATTTATGTTGTCTTCCCCAGGGGCCTTGTTGTTCTTTAGCATTTTTATAATTAGTTTAATCTCTTCTTCATCTGGTTCAGTGATCTCTGGCTGTACTGTATAGCGAAGCAGGTGGACCTCTTCCGGAACGTTATTGTCTTGATTTATATTTAATAGATCTTTAAAGTAAACTCGAAACTTCTTTAAAATATTCGCTTCATCTGTAATAAGGTGTCCACAATCATCTTTCAGCATAGTGAGTTGAGCATTGAAACATTTCTTTATAGAATTACATTTTTTGAAAAACCTTCTAGGGTTTAGCCTGTGTTCCTCAATATTACTTACAAATTCTTTTTCAGCCTTTCTCTTCTCTCTTCTAATAATTTTATTAGCTCGGTTTCTAAGTGTTAAAAATTCTTCTTGGTTTTCCGGTGTTGGATTCTGTATAGCTTTACTTCTGGCTTCGCTTCTTTTATTGATTGCATCCTTGCATAAGTCATTGAACCATGAGTTTTTTGGTTTCCGAATGTTTTCTTTAAAGATTTCAGCGGCCCTGTTAACTGTTTCCTTAATTTCTTTCCATTTGTTTTCTATATTCTTGCTTAAGATAGTGGGTTCGTTTTTTAGTAGATTATTTGTTAGCAATTGGAAATTTCTTCTGGTTTCAGGGTCTCTGAATTTTTCTGTATCCAGTATTGGCTTACTTTTCATCCTTTTGTTCCATACTCTTGATAGATTTACTTTAAAACATGCTGTTACAAGATAGTGATCCGTATCCCCATCAGCTCCTCGGCAGCTTCTTACTTGTGTTATACAGTTTCTGTGTCTTCTATTAATTAATATATGGTCGATTTGGCTTTTAAACCTTCCACCTGGGGAGGTCCAGGTATGTTTATGTATTTCTTTTCGTTGGAACTGGGTGCTGCTAATTATTAGGTCTTTTGATGCAGCGAAACTAATTAATCTTATCCCGTTGCTATTGCTCTCTAGGTGTAGACTTTCCTTTCCCGCTGTTCTTTGGAAAATCTCTTCCCGGCCGACTTGGGCATTTAGATCTCCGACTATGATCGTTATACAATTCCTGGGAAGTTTGTCGAAAGTTCTTTCTAATGAGTCATAAAAGTCGTCATTTGCGTTGTTTTCAGCCGACTCCGTTGGGGCATAGCAATTGATGAACACAACATCCAGAACTTTTCCCGAGATTTGCAAATAGCATAATCTATCACTGATTGGTTCGAATTTATTAACCGAATTCACCATTGAATTTTTTACGATGAAGCCAACTCCATTTTCATGTTTTTGATTTTTTGTTCCACTATAGAAGATTGTAGAATTCCCTGATTCTAAAATGCCATTTCCTGGCCATCTTATTTCTTGTAGAGCAGTTATCTCTGTTCTGTAATTACTAGTTATCTGGATTATATTATGCAGAGCTCCAGGTTTATAGAGGGTTCGTATATTCCATGTTCCGAATCTCAAGTCTCCAGGTTTGCCGGGCCATGTTCCATTTCTTTTATCCAAGTTAATCATAGGGTTCCGAGGCTTGTTATTGTGAAGTTTCTTAACGGAAGTTTTTTTACGATGTGGGGTTGTCAACCCCACGATCAACCTTCATGCCTTGAAGGAGGAGCTCGGGGCCCCGGGTTTGCTAAGCCCGTAGTACTAATTAAAGTACCCCCCTGGGGGGTACTAAACGCATTAGTGAGTTAAATATTGTCGATATTAACAGGGAATTATTGAAGCGTGGTATTGAGACCGGGGGGTCCAAGGCCGATAAACTCTTAGCATTAGAAGAGTATATTAGAGCTAAGGAAAATATGGATCCAGGATCAGTACGGTTTGGGGAAACTGACGAGAAGTCAGCCCAGGTACCGGAAGGGAAAACATCGGAGGCTCAAACTGGGGCGGATGAGGTCGACTCTGAAAAGAGTTTGATAAACCAGTTCATGGAGCAGATGTTGGATAGGCTATAGGGGTTGAAAACAACGGTCGACAAGCAGAAACTGTCAATTGCTGCTCTCAGCGAGAGCGTGGAACGCTTGGAGCGGGAGTTAGGCGAAGAAAAGCTCAAGTCGACCGAACGGGTGGAGCAAGCAAGTAGCTCATACTGTGGAAATACCCAACAACCATCCACCAGCGATAAATCCGGAGCAAATCAGATTTGCTCGGACGAAAGTCAAAATCTTCCGGTCACAACTCGAGGCGTGAGTTTTGAAAGCCGATGGGCAAACATACGGAGCAGATTGACCGGGGAAAACCCCAGAAATCGGAGTGTTTTTGGAGTTTCCGGTAACCGGTCCGGAGTTTCCGGTAACCGGTCCGGAGTGTCCGGTGAAACATCCGGAGTCTTCGGTAATCTGTCCGGAGTGTCCGGCGAAGTGCCCGGCATAAATCATGGGGAAGCGTTACGGAGTAGTTTTTCCGGTGTAAAACGTGTGCATTTCCCCGACAGCCTACTCATTCCTCAGAATGAGCTGAATATGGCCCGTGCGTCAATACCAGAGTTTGCTGGTAAGAGGGAGAAAGACCCAGTGAGGTTTTTGCTTCAGGCCGAGGCAATACTTGAAGAAACTGGTATTCACGTGGCTAGATGGGTGACCGTTTTGGCCCCTTAGCTGAAGGCACAGGCAGGAACATGGTGGGGAACCATGACAGCGTTGGACTTGCCATGGCAAGAGTTCAGGTCCGAACTATTGGAGAAGTTCAACGGGGACGAGTTGCAGTCGAGTCTGCAATCAGAATTGCTGAGCACCGCTCAGACCAAGACCGAAACACTGGGGGAGTATGTCCTACATAAGTACCAGTTGTATCGGAGGTTAAACCTTGGTCAGACAGAAGAAGCAGTGGTAATGACAGTGATTGGACTCATGCGTGACGAATTTAGAATTCATGCACGTATACAGCGACTGAAATCGTTCAGCGAATTACGTGCATTTGCCCATGTTCTGGATGGAAGCAAGGCCGTAGTATCGGATAAGGCGGGAGCGAGCACCAGCGTACCACCAAAGTTAAAATGGTTGGATAAACGAAAAGCTGAGAGTGCTGAGAAATCCCAAGTGCCGAATCCGAAGCAACGACAATCTTCGGGAGCAGGATGCAGAGTTTGTGGTAATCATGACCACTGGCAAGCTTCATGTCCAAAAATTAAGTCGGAGTCGGGAAACGCCAAAACGACCGGCGGGACCGCCGGGTCCCGGCCGGCCAGGAAGTAACCGGCGGGAAAATCACGAGTCATCCGAAGAGAGGTAAGCAACGGAGTTCAACGCGGGCAGTGAGTAATGTTCCAGTACAGGAACCACAAGTTACAAGAACAGACCTGGGAAAACGGAACTTCGGAGCGTTACGGACCGGAGATCCGGGAAAGGGCCCAAAGAAATCGGGCCAGACGAGTTCTGAACCGGCGAAATCCGGTAAGAACGGAATTCCTCGGGAGAAAAACTTTGGCCACCCGAAGATAACCTCCGGAGTGCGGATCTGTCCGGTGAAAACCGTCGAGCCTCCGGAGAAACACCGGAGAAATCGCTGAAATCACCCAAGGAAAACCATTGCAAACGACGTTCCGGTGGAGGAACCACAGTTCGTGACAATGGACCGGGTAAATGGTTCGGTGATGGAAACGGTTTCCGGCCAGCTGGACAACAGGTCGGGAAAATCTTTAAGGATCGAAAATATTCCGGACAAATGTGAAAATCTCACCGAGTGAGTTATCTTTCCAATAACAATGTCGCGGACAGTATTTCAGGTGATGCGGAACAAGATGAGTTAACACAGGAGTTGTTAATTTGTCCGGTCACATCCGAAGATTTTTCAGAGGAGTTTATTCCTCATCCACGGGAAAAATGCAAGAGGAGAGACTCAGATACGGACTCAAAGTTTGAGTTGAGAGAACGTTTCTCGGCCCTACGGACCGGAGTGTTCGAGTCTCCAGCCATTGCAACGGTGTCAACGGGGAAAACTAAAGTAACGGATGTTTTGTTACCGGCCATAGAACTAGAGTTTGTACTCGGGGCAGTAGTAGCGCTACTGGACTCCCAAGCGGCGAGGACATACGTCAAACCTTGGGTGGCAAAGAAGTTTGGCCGGAGTTTTACCGAAGAACCGGAGATTATCCGGATGGCGGACGGTCGGACCCGAGAAGTTACGGAGTTTTCCGAATTTCGGGCCCAAATAGTGGATCTGGAGGTTAACTTCAGAGCGGCAGTGTTAGACGATCTCATTGGAGATGTCTTTCTGGGCCATGATTTCCTCGTGGAGCAACAAGTAGCTTGGGACTACAGTGGTTGTATAATCCACTTGGGGAAAGAAAGACGTGTTTCCGTGAGTTGGAGAAATCCAGTAACTCCGGTCACCGTAGGAGTGGACTTAACAGCCGCAGGTTTACCCGAAAGAGAGTACGGTATGCGGGTCAAAGAAATCCTACGCCAATATCCGGAGGTCTTCTCCGGAGAAGTAGGCAGAACTCGGGTGATAGAGCACCAGATCCGACTCAAGGATCCAAATCCGGTGGCTCTAAACGCTTACGAGTACTCTCGAGAGAAAAACGAGGTGATGGCCGAAATGGTGCGAGACATGGAGGAACAGGGTTTTGTTGAACCTAGCATATCTCCATGGGCTGCACCGGTGGTACTCGTGAAGAAAAAGGATGGTTCACGTAAATTTTGCGTTGACTATCGCCGTCTGAACACGCAGACGGAGTCAGACGCTCACCCGATGCCGGATCTCCATGACATGGTCCGAGGAATGGGTGGAGCGAAGATTTACAGCACCATGGATTTGAAATCAGGATATTGGCAGGTGGGTCTCTCACCAGAGACACGTCCACTCACGGCGTTAAGGACCCAAAGAGGATTATTCCAGTTCAGGGTAATGCCTTTTGGACTAAAAAACACACCCGCCACATTTTGTCGCTTGGTAAGCGAAGTCTTCCGTGGGTTAGTTGGTAAATTTGTGTTGGTTTATTTGGATGATATTGTGGTATACTCTAAGAGTCCCGGTCAACATCTAAACCACTTGCAGAGAGTTTTGGAGCGACTCCAGTCTTACGGTCTGACGTGCCAGCCGAAAAAATGTACATTCGGGGTGACACAGATCAAATTCCTAGGTCACGTCGTGGACGGTGAAGGAATAGACCGGTAGCCGGAAAAACTGACGGCGATTCAAGAATTACCGGTTCCAAAGAAGACTAAAGACGTGTTACGGGTGTTAGGCGTTTGTGGTTGGTACAGTCAGTTCGTGCCACACTACGCCGAGATCACAGCACCACTCACGAGTCTGTTGGCCAAAGGGACCAAATGGCGTTGGTCAGAAATTGAGCAAGAGGCGTTCCGGAAGTTGAAGGAGTCTTTGGTGTCCGCACCACGGCTCTGTCCTCCTCTTCCGGGTAAGCCATTCAATCTACAGACCGACGCAAGCGAAATTGGAGTTGGTGCCGTGCTCTTCCAGCGGGGGGAGAGTGGTGACAGGAAAATCATTTCCTACGCCAGAAAAAAACTAAATCCAGCACAGGGAAGATACTCGGCAGTTGAACGTGAATGTCTAGCCATAGTTTGGGCGGTTGACAGATTCAGGCCGTATCTTGAGTCTGGTAAGTTTATGTTATTTACAGATAACGCAGCACTCCGATGGTTACAGCAAGCACGCTGTACCAACAGCAAACTAACGCGATGGGCGCTACAACTCGGGGCTTTCGATTTTGAAATCTGGCATGTGCCCGGAGTAGAAAACGAAGCGGCCGACGCGCTATCGCGTTGTCCGGTGGGACCGAATACCGTGGACGAAGAATCGTTGGAGAACAATATCCACGATCCCCCAGTGATTCGGCCCGGATTGTCCGGAGAAACTTCCGGAGTCTTCGGTGATCTGTCCAGCGTGTCCGGAGGCTCCGGTGTGGGTGTCACCCAGTGTGGAGCAATCCAGCCAAAGAGAGACGACGGAAACGTCACATTGCAAGTAGTCAGAGAGTGGCAACAAAACGACCCGAACATACGGGAGATAGTTGCTAAACTCTCCGGAGACGGTGCAAGGTTCGGTCGTTTACGGAAGTTGTACGTCATCCGGGACAAGGTTTTGCACCGCCACCCACGATCCATCGCGCATGGAGAAGAGGGGGTGGTTATCCCGGCGGACAAGGCCCAGATTCTGCTGCAAAGGTTTCACGACCACAATGCAGCGAATCACCCAGGATGGAAGGAAACGTACCGAAGCATAAAGAGTCGTTTCTTTTGGGCCGGTATGCGTGAGGCAGTGCGTAATTACATAAGGGCGTGCAACGTCTGTGCACGCGTAAAACCACTGAATCGCAAAACGGAAGATCGGATATGCACCCGAGTCCCACGGCAACCTTGGGAGGTGCTGAGCATCGATCTTATGGGACCATACCCACGAACGCAGCGGGGTAAGACAACGATTTTGGTAGTAACTGATTGTTACAGTCGCTGGGTAGAGGCGTACCCCATAGGAAAGGCGACGACCAAATCAATTGTGGGTACATTCGAACGGGAGTTGTTCCCACGGTTCGGGTACCCGAGAGA